GGCTTTGGCGTTGTTGGCCTGCATCTTCTTCAGCCCCTTCTTGTTGTGTTTCTTGGCAAAGCGCATGTTTCTCAGAAACTTGGGGTCAACCTGGAAGACAAAGCAATGTCTTTACAAAGTCCTGGATCCTCTCCTCTCTAGGTCTGTGACCCTGTTCTCACCTGGCTCTCCTGGCTGGATATTTTCATCCATATCACACCCACCAACCATGGGTATTCCCCATGAATTGAATGATCACCTCTGTACAATTGACCCAAGTCTAGTCATTCTCTGGAGCTCCAGTATCATATCAACAGTTGCCTTCTGGACATCTCCAACACAACCTCCCCAAAGCAGAATTCACCCTTCTCTTAAGAATTCACCCACAAGTCTCCAGTCAAGTGTCACCCTGGACTCCTTATTCTTACATGTGAGTCCCTTCTATGTGGGACTAATACCCCACATATCCAGACCATTCAGATCAGGCCCTCGTGGTACCTCCTGCATATAAGCTCTTTTCTCCTCTTACAGTTACCACTCTACTTCAGGCTTTCCTATCGAACGCAAAATACAACCACCTTCTAATAGGTCTCCCGTTCCAACTGGCTGCCAAAGTGATGTTCTTAAGTTCCGTGGCCCCAGGATTTATTGTCTAGTCTTGTATTTGGCATTTAAAACTCTGAATCTGTCTCAATCTAACTTTGGCATTTAAAATGATGCCTTTGCATTCTGTCCCTGACATTCGGAATGTTCCTCCTCACTTCTGCCTCTTAAATTTCCCTTCCTACTTTCAAGACTCAGTTCAAATCCCACTTTCCGAAGGAACCTCCTGCAAATCCCAGCTCACTTCCAATTTATCCTATATAGAGCTCCTTTGACTGTGAGCAACTCAAGGACAGGGACTTTCACCCCAGTGCTTAGCAGTATAGCACCTGCATACACCAAGTGCTTAAAAAATGTTTACTGACTAGAGTCTTCCCTTCTGGGAGATTACCTTCCAACTATTCTGCACACCTATTTCGTATACCTAAATTTCCATATTTACAGCTACCCTTAGGCAGAAAATGTGAAATCTTTGAGGTGCAGGAGTACTTTTGCCTTCTTTGTATCCTCAGCGCTTAGCACAGAACAAGCATTTAAATGCTCAATGAGGGACTAAATTGAACCAAGAGTCATAAGACCTAAGGTCCGGTCCAGGTCTGCTACTAATGTGCTGTGTGTCTTTGAGACAAGCCCCTCCTACTTCCTGGACCTCAGTTTCCCTATTTACAAGCCAAAGGAGTTAGACTAGACCAATACGT